AGCCATCTTGCATGACCTGCTCGTGCCTCTCAAAGGCCTCACCACTCCACCTCTAGCAGGAAAAAAAAGAAAGGACTCACGCTTTCCGCTTCCTGCCTCCCTGGCGCAGCCGCAGAAAATTCAAACGCCATGTCCGAATCCTGGAACGCTGCACAGGGGTAAAGGAGACTTGGGCCAGCTGAAAAGTGCCCTCATCGATGTACTGCTTTGCGGTCTTGTTGCAAGACCAACGACCACGGGCCACAGTGGCATCCAGACTCAAGGAGGACTGAAAGAACCATGTAGCCCCTCCTCTGCGCAAACTGTACGGGGTGTAGTCGTCTTCAGCAAAGCCCAGGCGCCGAAGTAGCGCGGCGAACAGTTGGCGAAACCGATGCGCCCCGCCAGGCCACAACAAAGACCTCTCGCCCGGACGACGCAGTGAAGTGGCATAACCAATCAACTCAGCATCCAGCACCAACAGGACTTGTGGATTGCCTTGCGACGTCTTGCTGCCCGGGATGATGAGGCTCATGCCCTTGCCACGACGATGGGGGACCAAGTGCTGGTGAGTCAGCGAGAGCATCTCACTCGTCCTCAGCATGGCGTTGAAGCCAAGGGCGAGCAGCAGCGCAAATTCATGAAACCCTTGCGCATGAGCCAAGCCCATCATGGCCTCCACTAGCTCCCAATGAGCCGGCAGCGCCCGTGAAGGAACATAGCAGCGCTGCCAGTTTCGAAAGTACTGACTTGCAACCGGCAACTCCAGACGCAAGGCTGGGTGAAACCGCTTCAGTGCCGACAAGAGGTGACCCGAGTAGCTCATTGGCTCTCCCTCTTGGTAAGAAAGATCAATGAATTCAGCAACCTGCTGGTCCAACTTCCAGGGCTTGGAAATGCTAAGCCGCTTGCGTTGAACGTGTTTGAGGAATCGATCCAAAGCAGTTCGGTAGGCTCGAAGAGTCCGCGGGCGCAGGCCTGCGTACTGCAGGCTTCGTTTGCTACGTTTCATGGGCTCGACTGGCCTTGTCCGCAAAGTTCCACCGACTGATGGTCCAAAGCGGAAACATGTAGTTGTCCATCGCCAACATGTAGGCACTGCACCGACGAGCCACTTTATTGAGCCTTCGAGAACTGCTTCTTCCTTTTGCCAGCACCCCACGGGACACCATCGAATCCAGCACATGAAAGAACCGAAGGTGTTGCTTGGCCCGGGTCCTGGCCCTCCTCTTCAAGAAAACAGCGACTGCCAGAAGCTCCAATTCATTGATATGGGCTTCCTGGCGCCATGCATAGGACATAACTGTCCTCCATTGCCACCTGGTGGCCAAATAAGGTTGCTCATGCATCTGACCGTCCACTTCCAAGAACGACCTCACATCGGAGCCACGATACGTGGCATGCCTCAAGAGAGAGGACAAATGCTCCTTCTCTCGCCCTTTGATCATGTAGATCTCCTTCAAAGCCAAACTCTCAGCCATGGGGCCCGCCACGTCGGCATCAGCCAGACGGTTAGTTGCAAGGGCCATCTCCTCCAGAAAGTGGGCTTCACGTGCCTCCGCTACAGCCGCTTCAAACTGACCATCTGCTTCGATCTGCTCCCTCACGGCTCGAGCGTAGGCCACACACATCTCCCATGGATACTCTGCTTCTTCCTCGGTGTCAAACCGCAAAGTCCCATCTGGAAGCTCCTCAACTTCATAAGAACGCAAGCCCGGGTGCCCGGGACAGTCCATGGACAGGTGCCGCTGCAAGGAGGGGAGGTCACTGAGGATTGCGAACCACTTTACCCTCTCCCCTCCAAAGCAACAATGCGAGGCGATTGAGTACTTCATCTCGGGCCAGGCCTCCATCTCCTTCACCAGGCGGAATTCCCACATCCAAGAGCGCCGAGGATGCTCGCAGGACCAGTAGACCTTGCTACCCCGCCGATCTTCATGCCCCCTCTTCAACGCCTTGAGCACCATTTGGTTAGAACGGCGGACTCTTGCTTTCATATCCGCCTTTAACCACGGATAGCCCATGACGTGATGAGCGTCTCGGACCGGCTGTGGCCCCTGTACTCGGCGGCCATCCCTTAATGTAATAGGCCGTCCTCGGGCTCTGCTGAAGAGCTTGCACTCAGGCGCCCAATGCTCCACAGCTAAGCAAGGGTCATCCATGAGATCGGCCAACGACTGCTTCCCTTCAGGTGTGAAGAAGTTGTCACCAAAAAACCAGTCGTAAGGTGGTTGGACTTCAACCTTGCCCACCATGGCCACTGCGTGACTCAACGGTGCTCGCCTGCCAGCGAACCTCTCTCCGAACTTGGGGATTCTCCAAGTACTCCGGGGACAGACCTCATCGCCTTCCCGGTGCGTCAACACACACGAGAGTGAGCACAGTGTGGCCCCACACACCGCTGGACACGGGTAACGGTCATGTCCCGGAATGTCTTTGCCGCATTGAGCACAAACCGCTGGGTCCCTCTCGATAGTGCACGGCTCAGCTTGGAACTCGACAGCCGTGGCGGCCCCACCACCTGTTGGTGATGCATCTGTGACTGACACTTCTGGGTCTATTCGGGCCTTCAAATACGTGTACATGAGCGGTGACAGAAGCACCATCATGGCCACTTCATCCCAACTCTCCTGTCGGGGCACCTCCCTGTCACTCATCCTGGCTCTCTCACTGATCTCCTCGAACACACTCTCGAGGATGGAGAAGAGGGGCCTCCTGAAGCAGCATCCAAAAGTTGCCTTCCCTACGAAGTGCCTCAGTTCTGCCTCTGTCCACTTCTCTTTGGCCAGAAGGGTTGCTCCCAGAGACATCACGTCCACCATCTTCTGGACCGCCAACCCGTAGCGGCCGTCTTCCCCGTCCAATTCACCGCCCTGCAAAGCGCCTAATGTCGAAGCCACCAGCCTCTTACCATCGTTGAGCGGCAGTGCCAGGTCCTCGCAAACCCGCAGGAAGCGCTTGTGCCTTTCCGACATCTCGGGACTCAAAACCTCCTGGCAGCCTTTCTTGAATTTCCTCAACTGGTCATATGAATCCAGATAGATGACCGTGAGATCTTCATCTGCCGGCAGGGGCTGAGTCTTTGCTACCTCGGACTCCACGGGGATCTCAGCCTCCTTGAAAACCAACGACCTCACAATGCTCTGCACCACAGCCACGCTGCTTACCCAGCCCATCGGCAACACCGCCATTGCTGGGTAAACCATCTTTCCTGCTACTCCTCCCAGCAGCGATGCATCCACTGGCTTTTCAAAGGCCATGAACTTGTGCCAAACCGGGGGCAGCCGAAAGAGGTTGAAGCAGCTTGCGAAGTCTTCAGAATCAACCAACCAAACTTCATCCTCCTCCTGCTCCAGGAGGGTGAATTGCCCCAGGTAGGGCAGAAGCTTATCATCGCCATCCAGGCGGTCCTGGAACATGTTGCTCGGGATCAAGTTGCTGATGAACCTTTGAGTGCTCACCACTTTCCCATTCACCTTCTTCTCCTTCTTCACTGCACCTGCACCATTAAGGACAGGTCTTCCCTTCTGGTCCTTGAAGACCTCCTCACACTCCACTGCCACCATCAGACCACGCTCATAGGCAGCACTAACCACCTTCTTCCATTCCTCATCGGAAGCCCTCACTTTGGACTGATGGGGCTCACTCGGCCACTCATGAACAGGCCTGAGACACGAGGTCGGGTCCAGAAGCTTCGCCTTCAACTTCTCGGGGAGGAATGATAAGGCATCTTGGACTGCCGCCTGACCCACCCCAGGCCAAGCCGCTATCACCTTGTCTGCCATGATATCCTCCATCACGACCACAGGCTCTCCCTGGTAGTCAAAGCGCACATCAGCCAGGCGCTTCGCTGTCTGCTTGAATCGACCACACTTCAGCTTCCGCTCCTCCACATAGTCCAGAGCACGCCTCAAGTGATCTACAGTAAGCTTCTGTGCCTGAGTGAGGTCAGCCTTGACTTCCGGGTTCGACCAACCTCCATGGCCTTGTGACCTTGCGAGCAAATTCAGGGCAGTCACCATGCCCGCAACACCCTGAGCCTTCACCTCGCCGTGCGCCTGCAAGTAGGCGATCGCCGCTTGTGGGTTAATGGGCAGCAGCTCATCGCCCCGCAACGATTTGGAGGATTTCTCCTCGAGAGGCGCTCCTTGACTTCGACCCAACTGCGCTAGGCGACACAGCGGCGAATCCTTGCCCTCAAAAGTCCTCCACAAGCCATAGAACAACTCCACCGGCGAGCGCTCTTCAGCGAGGTAGCTCCTCAGATCGCCAGGACTTGATGGCACAGGGGGCGGAGAGGGCTCCCTGGTGACTTCTGCAGGAACTAGTCCTTCTTCTCCTTCTCCCTTTCTCCTCCTTTGCCTTTTCCTCTCTCTTTCCCTTTCCGGCCGCCCTTCTCTTGGCTTCCTTTTCCGTCCTTGCCGGCTCTCGGGTTGCTGAACCCTTTCAACTTCAGCTCCAACAGATGCTCCCGGTTCATGAAGACCTCCTCGTCCCTCTCCAGGAGGCCGCCTGCGTCCGGACCCAGAAGCTCCAGGAATTGGGCTGCCTGCCAGTGCCCGTCGTGGCAGCTCTTCTCGATGGCCTTGAGGCGCTGCCCCAGTAGGTCCGCTGCGTGGGCTGGCAGCTTTCTGGCCAACATGTCCAGTGCTGTGCGCAACGCCCTCATCTCCCGATGCGCTCTCATCCCTAGGCGCTGTCCCAGCTGCGGCACTATCGTCGTGTGGAAATAGTGCACGGCCGCTGGCGGGGTCAGCTCTCCTCGATCCGCGGGGTTCGCCCCCACAGCCCCTTGGGCTCCCTCGACCTGCATCTTCAAGAGGAGTCTTGAAGCCAGGCGGCCCGGTGTTCTCTTTGCGTACTGCATCAACTTGAGTTGGTTTGATGCCTTTGGGACTGTGGGGGCTTCGCGAAAAACTGCCTCTGACTCGCTAGAGGACTCCCCTTGGTACCTGACGATGTCACCACCCCCGAAGGGTCCACGATCACGTTGGCCCTTCTTTGCCGAGGATGACGCCTTGCCCTCAGTGCCTTCACCAAACAAGCCCTCCTCCTCTTCACTGTAAGAGGAGGACTCCTCAATGTCTTTCTTCTTCTTCTTGGCAACTCGGGCCTCCTTGTCTCGCTCTTCATCTGCTCCAGCGGCCTTCCGCTTCTTCTTCTTTCCACCTCCAGGGGAGGGTGACTTCTTCTCCTTCTTTCGCTTCTTCTTTACCTCGGCGTCAGGCTCCACCTTCTTCTTGCGCTTGACCTTCTCCTTCTTTGCCTTGATGCCGCCACTCTTTGAGGCTTTCTTCTTTCCTGACAACTCTCGCTCAAGGCGTTTGACCATGTCTCGTGCCTTCAGGAGCTTCGACTTGAGGCCCTCCTTCTCACGACTCCCACTGCTTTCTTCTTCCTCTTCCTCCGAAGCTTCTTCACCTGGGTCCACCCAGGGTAAAGCGCCTTTGGCCTCCTCAGCTTTGGGCTCCATGCCTTTCTTCTTCAAGAAGTCCATGAAGTGCTTGCCCATTGATTTGGCAAAGGCCCAAGAAGGCACATGGTTGTTGACCTCCTTTTGGCCCAGCACCCTGAACTTCTCTACATGGATCGAGGCTCCACGTCTGCTGACCTTGCAATCATGCGAAGAATCTTCGCAGAAGTGGTAGGCACATTTGGCAGCAAGTTTCTTGCCAGCACCTTCAGACATCCACCATTGCATATGGGCATCACTGGCCCCGAGGAACTTGGCTGTCACCCAATGCCCTTGATCATCGGTGGACAAAGCCGCTGCGATCTCCAAGATCACGGTGCCCTGTGCATGGCCTTCGTTGTCACGAATGCCGCACTCCACCAACTGCCCAGGAGCAAATCGGTGGTTGAACCATTTCTCACGATCGACACCCCCCGCCAGCCACATCCCGCTGGCGGGGGGGTGAACAGTTGCCCTTCAGCCAAACAGCTACGAAGAGTAGGGGGGACATATAGTCGTGGCTCCACTACGTAGAGGCATCACTCATTGCAATGTATATATATAATGTCAATACCTGACTCCATCTGGGACCGTTGGTGCAGAGTAGAGCGGGTGGAAAGAGCAACTGGAAGGTGTAGTTAGTAGGCAACTGCTCACTTCAATTCCCACTCCGTTCGTGTCATTAGCCAACATCATCACCCCATCATGCCACCGCTATTTAGGTTGGAAGCCATGGCTACTATATAGGCTGGAGGCCATCGCTATTCTTCGTAGGTTCCTTAGAGTCTTTTTTCTACAAAGGAACACTACAACAACATTATCATGTCGACACGCGGACCTACAGCACTGATTTTTCCAGGCCCGGCCAGCTCTGACTCCAACTCAAAGAGACGACTGCAGGCAGCTCACTCGGCCCAGTTGAACGGTTTGCTCCAGCAGTTTGTCTGGCCCTGACTTGGAAACCGCCTGCTACGCGATCTGGGAGCACGGCTGCGATCACTTCCTCACCTCCCGGGGCTTTGATTGTGATGACTGGCCAATTGGGCCTTGCACTCGGAACTACTCCCAGTTCACGATGGAGGAAAGATGTCAGTTTGATGGCTCGTGACCCCAGCCGGGGGCAAACATGGTCGCCAGGTTGTGCACCCCGAAGTGTAATAGTGCTTCCATTGGCAACGCCATGAAGAATCATTTTGCTTTCAAAACTATCATTGACACTCATGCCATTGACACTCTCATTGAAACTCTCGTTGCTCCGCTCCAGCTGCATGGAGATATGCAACGGCGAAGAATGAACGATGAATAGATCCATAACTTTCCATGTCCGCTCACAGATGTGTTGATCTTTTCTCAGAACCAGCAGCTGAGATCCTTTTTGCTTCAGCTCCCAGCCAGAACCTAAAAGCCAAGTAAAGGGCACTGCTCTCTGGTCGCTCAGAATACTTCGCACAATACTCCCGACAGCTGAATGGCTCAGCATAGCACCGCATGCGTTTGACACAAAACGCCAAACGAATTCATATTGGACCATCTCCGGAAGATCCTGGAAGGATGACACGTCTAGACAGAAAGCCAATGGGACTTCGTACCCTGGAGCATGTTTCGTGCCCTGTTTGGCATTCGATGAGTATTCTGGACCATGGTTCTGCTCACACAACTCCTCCAAAAGAGAGGAAAGCTGTCCACTTTGCTGGGCAATTTCCTGAAACCGATTGTGCAATGCATCTTTTCCACCCAAGAGATCCACAAGCATTGGCACCAGCTCCAAGCGCACACGATTCCGCTGGTAGACTGGCTGAGCATTGGAAGCGTCTTCCATCCACGACTGGTTTTCTTCGCACAGGAAAGCTTTCAGCTCGTCCTTCCGAGTGCTGAGCAGAGGCCTTGCAAAGGGTCCTTCTCGGGCACGCATGCCACCCAGCCGGGCCAAGTGTCCACCACGCAGAAGCTTCAACAGTTGCGTTTCCACCTGAGGGAAAACGGGCCACATGGAGCTTTGTTTCGACACGACTGGGAAGCAACACGAAAGAAGGTGAAAAAAGAAACTAGAACCCACCTGATCATCTGCATGGTGTGCGAGCAAAACCACGCCATCCTCATCCTTTTCCAAAGCAGAAAGTAATGCTTTGGATTCTCCTTGTCGCCAGTCTCGCGCAGCTGCTTGCAGCCCCAACTTAGAAGTTTTCAAACGTTGCGGGTCTCCATAACGTACGAAGAACGGCAGCTCCAAAGACTTGCTCAGCTCCTGAACAAAGGCTTCCTCTGTCACAGCTTCAGGTCTCAAGCCATGGTTAAAGTGAAGTACATGCAGCCGCCACGGGTGCCTTTTCAGGAAATCCAGTTGTGAAATCAAGTGTGGACGAAACACGTGAAAAGCGGAAGCAATAAGTAAAGAGTTAACTTTCCCCACCTGGAGGCAATTCGATGAACCAAGCGAAGTAGAGCGACTGAATCCAGGCCGCCACTGACGGAAATGATAATTGGAACCTGAGAATTCGCAGCCACTCCGCAGGATGTCGTCAGCATCTTGTCAACCCGCTGTATCAAAGCTCTTTGGACTCTGACATCCATCTTGGCAAAACAAATAGGCATCTTGCTACTTGGGTTTATGATTTGTCTGCAAATCGCCAAGCACAAGGCTGCCAGAAGGAGCAACAGTGGCCTATATCTGACAGCCATAAAATCTGGAGCGACATGCAGGCCACAACATGGTGAAATGCTTGAAGTCTAGAACAAGGTGGGCTGAAGGTTGGAACTACAGTACTATTGTGGAGTTCAAGTCTTGTGAAAGCTCTTCCCAGCCAAGCTGAGATCAACTCACCTTGCAGGTAGCCAGCCAAGCCCTTGAACATGCTCTACCTGTTTTCTTTGACGAGAAATGAAATGATCCCCAGCAAGTGGTCCAGTCAATGTGCGGTCCTTCTTATCTCTGAGGTCTCCTGAAACAATGCTCACAAATAGTAACACACACCTGAGAGAGCAAGTCGCCTCTCCTGGCACCTCCAGCTATCCAAGGAAGTTGAAAGAAGAAAGCAACAAACAAAATCGCAAGAGTGTGGGCCTATCTATTCTACATATACGACGATGCTTCGATGAAGTAAAATGAAGTAAGGCTGCTTGAAAAGCACTCAAGCTCATGAAGCAAATTCTGCAGGAACAAAGAGCTGTGTCCTGTCAAAAGAGCTCAACCGCGCTCTTTGCTGGAGCTCAGGGGTTGGGTTAGCACCCTCGGCAAATTAAAATGCATTATCCTACCGCCAGATTGAGGCAGGCAAGCAAGCCTCCCTCGTCTTTGATCTGCGAAAACTACAACCATTTTGGCTGCTAACCACCATTGGACATTCGCTTGCCAAGCACACCTGTCTGTGCTTGGAATGCAAGTTTAAGAAAACACTTTTCAAACACCAGGTCACCACAACTTTGCATGGCTTATGTAACAAGAATCCTGACCACACGCCAAATGTTTACATAAATGTACTGGGCAGAAACATCAGTATGTTGTTTACCTATTGCCTAAGACCCTTCAGGCCTACACTGTTGCGGCCTCATGCTTGAATTCCACCCCTGGAGGTGAGCAAGTAGGGCTCTCAAACAGTTGGATTGGTCGATTTGGCCTCTTCAATCCACGCATCCATCTTCTGGCAGGGTTGGATGCACAAACACAAAGTATTTATTTTAAAAACTCTGCAAGGTTGTTAGAGTCGAGTCATGAAAGTCCACAAAATTATTCAGGTTCCATGTTCTCAAGGATTACCATCAAGGGAGATGGTTTCAAGTTTGTGGCAAGGTTCGATTTGCTGGGTGAAATTGGGTCAAACCCGAGGTCTTTGAAGAATGGATGATGGTTGATTCTTTCGCATAGCAGTCCGCAAATATGCGAAAAGCCGCCGACGCATGAAGTTTGATATCGCCAACTCACGGCTCCCACCCTGCCTTCCTGTCAAAGCAAATTACATGATTCATCTTCGGATTGAAAGCTCGTTCCTCTGGAGTACACTTCCGTAGCTTCACGATGTTCATACCCCACTCCACTGAACATAGAGATTCATCACCAGGCATGACGGTCAAGTTCTTCGCACCAATTTGGTGGCGGGCTAGGACTTGAGTGATCCTGAGTGACATGGTTGCCCAAACCCAAGCGGCCCAACAATGTAAGAAAGTGATTCACGGAGGGTTTCTTGTGTATTATACACGCTCTCAATGCCACTCTGGTCCTATCCACAGATCTAGGTATGCTGTTGTGCATCTCATGTGCAATCATTGATCATGTGTGTAAAAATCAGATCTGTTTCCAAGTGATTTTGCAAAATCTGCATAGAAGCAGGGCCATGCAGCCTGTGATCTACTAGGCACAACGAAGCCCACATGTTTTTTAGTAATTAGCTGAGTTTGCTTATGTGCTTTCCCGTCTCTCTTGGTTGTTAACAAGTTAACAACCACCTCTGCACTGTGAGGTTGTTCGCACCATACTGGTCCTGGGCCGAGAATTGCCTGAGTCCCCGGACTTTGACCCGAATTGCTTCAAAACAAATAGTGATTAAGCTCATCCAAAAATTGCCCAAAACAACTGTTCAAAGGGGAAGTCCACAAGCACCTCAAAAGGGAGAAAAAAATGGAACAATGTAAGGGCTTGAGCTTGGAGCGCTTGCAACAAGGGAATCTGAGCGCAGCTAAGCTTTCCAATGCTTAATCCCAGGTTCCCTTTTGAGATCCTTGGTTAGCTGTCTTATTTGTCTTGTCTCATGTGCCTGAGTCCTTTAATTCTCAACTATGCTTCCTATTGCTTAGCCAATGATTCCCTTTCAGATCCTTCTGTTCAGATCCTTCTGTTTGAGATTGGCCGAGTGCTCAATGTCAACGGCACAAAATCACTGAGAGCACCCTCAAAAGGCACTGAAATGTTCAGAAACAGACATTTGTTGTCTTCCCTGTAAACCCAAAAGAAGTTGTTTTTCCTTCCCGTTAAAACCAATTCAAACAGGAATTCTTTGTCGTGTCTTAAAAAAGAAATTCCTAGGCCAGGCTGCCTGGAATTTTGAAAGGGCTTTAGCTACAGACGCTCCCTCAAGTGTTTGCAAGGAACGGGGAGCCTCCAATACTGGACTGCAAACAGGCTAATGCATTCTTGCCAATTCTGGAGAGGGGTTCAAACAACCATGTTTCAGGGGTTTTGAGTCAACTGTGTCAGCAAGAGTTCCGCAACATCAACAGAACATCGACCGAACCCTACAGTGCACCCCGTATCCAGCATTATGTGTGTGAGCACCTAATAAAAATATCTTGCTCTTATTCCAGCCCTTTGAAAATGCATCCTTGCAAAGAAGAGCTATATAGATCCTCCAAACGCACCTCAACTAGCTACACAGGAGACGACAGTGCTGATTCAATAATACCACAAAACAGAAAATGTACCGGCAGCTGAGCATCTGTTCTATCTTTTTGACGGCAGACCACTTTGCCGTTGTGCCAATTCCGGTATTCTTCAGCTCGTATCCGTAGACCACCTTTCCGTGACGCCAGTAGTTTGTCTCTAAGTCTTCCTGAACTGCGAAGGGTTTTGTCCCAAAGCAAGTGGGCACTGAGCAAAGCAAGGTGAAGGACAAAAACATTCAGTGACGGTGGACAAATGAAATGTTTAAAAGGTTCTCACAACAGCTAAGTTTCAATGATGTAGAGGCCGCCAGGCTTGAGTGACTTCCATAGGGAGAACAAAGAGTAGATCATATGAGATGGTTCATGAGAACCATCATCAATGATTATATCCCAAGGCCCTCGTGAAATGAGATCCTGGATCGTTTCATTGTTTGAAAGATCCGCCCATATCACGGAAGTCTTGGGTCCAAGTGTCTTCTCTACTCCACCTGCATCTTTGCCGTAGGCCACACCCAAAACTGTCTTAGGAGAAGTGAAGTAGTCATTCCAAATCTTCAAGGAGCGCCCGTGCTCAGCCCCAATCTCCACTATCTTCAAGCCAGGTTTGCATCTCTTGTCTTTCAGCCAGTGCTCATAATAACGATCGTAGCGATGCGTAGAAAACTTATCAGATCCTTAGCTCTTTCAAATCCACAAATAGAACGACCTTCGGAACAATTTGTCGTGGTATGGAAATTCATGCTCAAGTGAAAAGCCAACATGTTGGGCAAGGGTCCACTCCGCTTGATCAAAGTGGTGATGTTCGTTAACCCTTCTGGACACTCAAAAGGTCCCACATCATCCTCATTGTCCGCACCCCCTTCATCAGCTGCGTGATAGGCAGGATCTGCATCCACCGGCCTTTTTATACAAAAATTGGTCAAAAAAACACGACAGGCAGATTGGACAAAAAACTTGAGACAGCGGGGCACAACACAAATAGGGTTGGTGTGTCGTTGAGGTCGTTGACCAATCGATAAACCAAGTGAAATGTGTACAGGCGAATGATGAGCCGTGCAGCAACACTTGAACCATGCGATGGAATTAATCTGAAACCTTGTGTGAGGGTGACCACTGTGCAAACTGTATGGAAACAAATGTGGGAAAATGCACGTCTGATGCCAAGTGGCTCAGGCTCAGATTCAGCCGCGGTTGCGGTGGTTGGTACAATGAAACCCTTCAAATTGGAGATAGGCCTCAAATCATGACAGGTGAGCCTGGATCGACCAAAGTAAGCTTGCAGTCTAACAGCGGCCAAAAACAAAAACGTACGTGTGAGTGACAACAAAAGAATGTCAAAAGTGGGACGATTGCCCAAACTGGCTACACGTTCATGGCAAGCGACGAGAAGCGGAATGATATCATCGTGGCAGACATCCCAGATGCAAAACCAAGGACACAGCCCGCCAGAAACCGCATGACGCTGTCGAATGCAGAAACTCTAACTTTATATTCAGGACAACAAAGGACACTGATTGCTTGGTTTTAAGTTTGGTTTCGCTAAAGGAAAGGTGGAAAATTTGTCACCAATGTTGGGGACGCAACATGTTTTGCACTGTTCCCGACCATCCAAGGCTATCGCAGTAAATTACCATTTCATTTCGCCGCATATTCACATATTGAGAGTGGCTTGAGCCGAGCACACCACGCTGTCATGGCAAGATTGCGGGTCAAAGTGCAACACACATTGAAGTGCAAACCAAAAACGTCTGCAAAAAGGTTCCGACCGTTACTCGCGATCACTAGTCACTAGGCCCTAGGTTGGCACAAAGGCTTGGTCAAGTTGACTCGATCAACATGGATTCGACATGTTTTCATGCACATGCCACCTGAGCATTCATTCTTATTTTGCACCTTTGGGCCCAACATCAGGGTGGGCCGCGCTGCTCAGGCCACATGGCTATGCACCGAAGTTAAACCGCCTCGCAGAGCACAAGGAAAAATAGAGCCTGGACTTCGCGCGCTGGGTTGCAAGGGATAGTTTTGGAACCTTCTGCCTTCACCTCCAACTTTCCTACCAACCTACTTTCACTTCTACTCCAACCCCTGGTGCTGCCAGTGCTATCTCAGCATCGGTAGCTGACCGGCACCATCAACCTGCGCTACTCCGTCTTCTCAACGACCCTGACCAAGAAGAATGTCAGGCACTGGCTCCGGTTCTGAAGGATCCCAAGGACTTGAAGTGACTAAGGACAACTTCATCCCGCTGTTTGACAAATCCACCAAGAATTACAAGGAACAGCGTGTTCGCATCGTGTTGTATGGTTAGAAAATGGCCCTCCAGCACAAGGACAAAGAAACCACGATCATCTTGTTTGCATCCTTGACGGGTGTGGCTTGGCGACAAGTCGAATCACAGGCAGAAAAGCTGGCAAAAAGCGAGGACGGCTTTCCTCGCACCTTTCAAGTGTGGCGCACGGGTGGAAGCACCACGTGCCATGGAGAACTGTTTTTCTTCTCCTCTATGTCAGCAAAACCCGCAAAAACCGCATCAAGATCCCCGACGCGATCACTGGCTGGTTGCCACTCAGAAGGGCTGGGTTCACGGCAGAACAACGACAACTTGTTCTGTCTCAGTGTGGCTCACAAACCGAGATTGCCAGAGTGATGACACTTGGGACTGTGACCATGATGATGAAGAGGTTCCGGACTCCTCCACCTACCAGGACACTGCAAAAGCAAAAGCAAGAGTTGAAACAAGGTAAGCGCCGTTTTGCTACCTCGGTTTAAGGCCTGCAGTTCACTGCGTAGATCCTATGTGTTCCAGCATGCCATCAGTCTGTTGGAAATGATTCATACTCTAACGCCGCCCCTATGGCGTCTGGAACACAGTGCGCGCATGGCTTGAGCATTTTGGTTGCGGCGCTATTGGCCAAGTGTCCGCACCTTGGTTGGTGGTAACACACGCTGTGTGAAACGAGCTGTTCGCATCTTCTCGACCATCTTCTCTTGAGTTTCTTGCTCACATTCTTTTGCTCTCTTCTTCCATAGTTCCGTGACTTCCCAAGCCTTTGCGGCATCTTCTGCCATTCTTTCCATCTCCCTTGCTCGCTCATCTTCTGTTCCGGCTTCTTCTTGGCTTCATCCCTTTCATTCGTCACATTCTCGAGCTCAAAGCGTAGATCCGCACACATGTTGTACATGCGGACCACTTCACGTGCTTGTAGGTTTTGATCTCGTCGGGCGTCATTCAACTTTTCCTCCTGTTCGGCGATTGCCACCTCTAGGTGAATGATTTGCCACTGCATGTTGACTTTCTCCTGGTCTTCTTCTTGCTGAGGCTGTGCAGGTTGGGTCTCATTCCACTTCTCACAAGCGGCGTGGCCACTTCATCAACTCTTCCTTCATCTTCATTCTCCTCGATGGGCTCTCCATGAACTCGTCTCCCAAGGCACCACGTCTTCATAGCTTCAATGGCCATCCGTGCCAAGCTCAAGGCCCCGATGCTGGCCAAGCAGATCATGGTGATCAATGGCCGAATCCACCAAGCCTCATCGTTCTCCTCTTCTTCAACCTCTGGGTGCTCAGCTTCTGCTCCCTGTCCTCCTTGTAGTAGTGACAAAGCAATCAACAATGCCACCTTTGCGTTTGCACCCATCATCTTCGCCATCTTTCTTGTGTTCTTCGTGAGCTCCTCCTTTGACTTTATCTCCTGATAATGGGACTTGCCGATCTTCTCGTCATCGCCGTCAACCATCTTGATCAAGTACTTCAGGCCACTCATCCTGGCCTTACTTGAGATCTTGGTCCCAATGTCGCTGGTGTTCACAGCTGTTGGAATTCCTGTGATCCTCAACTCCTTCAAGCTCACCTTTTGCTGGAGCCACAACAAGCCCGCTGCAATGCGGCGTGTCCGTCCGACACCAACGCAGCCTGCCAGAGACCTGGCTGCAGATGATTCGCTGCGGCACACCATGTCCAGGTCCTCGTTGGTCAAGAACTTCCAGCAATGTCTGAGGAACAGGCCTTCACTGCATCCTCCAACCATGGCCACGTATTCACTCTCCCCTGACAAGAGTGCTATTGCTCTTTGACTCTTCACGTAGCTCTCCAGCAGGCATCCATCCAGGAAGATCTGGACTGAGCTCACACTCTTCCTTGTGTCACGTTGGCCTGCATAGTCGGCGTCACAGACCACTTCGAGCATGCCTTCTTCTCTTCATTGAGGTCCCATTCATAGACGTTCTCATCATCATTCAGCATGATGCTGCCTTTCGGTCCATGTTCGAACAGGATTCCTTCGTCCATTGTTCCCAGGAGACAGGAACTCACATTGTTCCTCGCTGACTTCTGGTGGTTTCCCAATGCCTTTCTCCTCAACTTCGTCATCACTGATCTTGTTGAGCTCATCCTGCAAGATTGCCTCACCAATCAGCTCATCGCCACCTGGAAAGTCCTCCTGAATGCTTCTCACACGTCTCTTTGGGCTCATCCTCCTCTTTTCATCATCCTCATCATCCCAAGGTAGGGCGTATTCTCTCTTTGTGCCCAACGGTGGTGTCACCGGCGCCAGGTTGCCCACGACCTCCTCCATCTTCTGCCTCTTTGGACTTGTCTCGATCTCATGGGCTCCTGGTGGGAAGTTTCCTGCCTGTTCACCCCTCATCGCCTCTGGGATTGGGAGTCTCACGATCTTCCTGTTTTCCATCACACCACAAGCATTCAGGTCCATTCACCTCTTCCAAGTCTGACTCATCGCCCGCTTCTTCCCAGTCCTCTTCATCAACTTCTTCTGCAACTGGGGCTAGTTCTTCATCAACATGGTAAAGATCTTCACCTCACAGGTTTTCTTCTCCTTCAGCGTTCAGGGCTTGATGCCGGAGAGCGCGCCAACGTGCTTGCTGCAATTCGTGGTGAATTCTCCGTCACCTCCGTGGAGAGAGCACTGAAGGAGCAGTGGGCTGATGATGATTTGCTCAAAAGGGACAAGTCGCACTACCAGGTCCACTTCGCTCAGAGGACCTGGAAGACGGCCTGATGGCCGATGGTGGGATGCCGGACCCTTCGACAGAACCGGAGGCCTACCTCCAACCTTCACCAAATCGATCTTGTGCAGACTTCTGGGGTCTAGAGGTGCACTCTTAGGTTCTGGTGGTCGCACTGGTGCTGCTGGTGTCTTGGGTGCTGGCCGTGCCGGTGTTGCAGGCATAGGTACTGCCACTGGTGTTCGTGATGCTGGTGTCTTGGTTTCCGGTGTTGGAGCCATGGGTGTTCTGCCTGGTGTCTTTGGGTAGCCATCTGGAGGCAGACCTGGAGTCACTGGTCCATGACCATACATGCCGATGGCAACTTGTTCACCAATCATCTTGGCTTCCTTCTCCACCTGCTCTTCACCTGTGGCTTCTTCAGCTGCATCAGCCAACCGTTGTCGTGCAGCAAACTTGGTCTTCATGAGAATTCCTTGCACCGAATACTGCCACGGGAGTCCTCGGCAGTGGATCAACATCTGGCCATCGAATTGGTCAACCTGATCGACCGGGCTTCTACTGCTCCAGATCTGGTCAGACATATGCGGCTGTCGCTCCAGGAACTCTTTCCTACCCACACACCTTTTCTATACGCCCTTGTGTCTGAAGGAGGTGACATCTTTGAAAATCACTGTCTCGCCCCAAAGCGCCACCTTCCCACAATAACGTCGATCTGTCAGCACCTCGAACGATGTGGCCCCATTGATCACTCGATACCTCAGTATCAGCCAGGCTGCATGTCGAAAGCTCCATGGCTAACAATGCATGTCCCCTGTCAGCTTCACACCCGTCTTCTCCTCGGCAAACTGCCTCAAGGTGTTGGCCAATCTGATTGCACCGTCCTCTCGGCTTGTCCATTGGACTCGTGTTGATCCCTTGATGTTGTTCGGACTTCTGTAGTAAGGCCAAGAGTTGCACGGGCATGTTGAATTGCTCTCAATATTTGACGGGTAGCCCTCTCACCATCAGACTGAAAGATGATGGGCTGGGTGTTGCACACCTGCATGCTGAACCTCGTGAGCTCCTCTGTGCTGCACTGCCTTTCGCCTGCACTGGAATGCACATCGTGGCCTTCGACTCAGACTCCGCCACCTAGAGAGCTGTTCCCCACTGCTTTTCTTCAGCTATTCCAGTTGCACAGGTGAACCCACAGTCGAAGCTGATCACTGGTCTTCCTCTGTCTTTCCGGTCACTCTGATCCTCCTTTGTACGTGGGTCTTCGAGCGTGGGTCTTCAGTGGTGTGGTTCCTCGTCTACTTTCACTGCAGAGCCTCTGCGCCACCTTATACGCCAGTTTCTCCTCCTGTTGGTGCTTGTAGCGCTGCAATCTTCTCAGAACCTTGATCTTGGATCCAGACGTTGCCAATCCGAGCTGCTTGCATGTTTGTTGAAAGTCCTCGTCCGGTCTACAAACTCGACATCCCAAAATCTCTGACCTTCCTCCACTGCCAGCTGTCAGCATGCCTTCTTCATCTCTTTCAGGACTGGGGTTTCAATTCGAGACATTTGTGGGCAGTTGACCGACCATGCTGTCCCACATGAAGAACGCTGAAGCCCAATCAAACCGTTTGCACTTTGTTGACAGGCCTCATGAAGTGGAGACCCCTCCATTTGCTTCGAGGTCTGGCAAGCCAGAATGGCTTGAAGGCCTGGCGGGCACTCACCAAGGACTTGCAGCCACGAACCAGGCAGCGTTCATTGGCTCTGATCCAGTCCCTTGACCTGATGGTTGGAGAGTGCGAGAAGAGTGCAAACGTGACCTGCCCGGATGACCTCAAGATTGCCTTGGTGATGGCAGCCTGCCGCGTCCATCGCATGGCCCTGCATGACCTCACAGGGTCTTTGCTCTGCTTGTGATTCTGTTGGAGTTCGTTCCACAAACCAAGAAGAAGTCGGACAGAGACAAGCCGGAGGCCCATAGGGACAAAGCAGCTCCTGGGATGTTGCAGCTATTCCGTTCCCAGCAAGTTTCGCACCCCTCGAAAACAGGTGCGACAGGAATAACTATGTGTGTTATGTCCTCCCAAGCCTCGAGGTGTGAGCCTCCGTTGGCCATCTGTTCCAAATGGCAACCATGCCCCAGAAACGCAAAACCACTGGAAATCATCACGTTCCCACATCGAACCAATTGACCTCTCCAGCCATCAATCTTTTTTTTTGCACGAGTCGAGGCGCTATGTGTGCAGGTTCTGCACAAGTCACCTTGGTCGAGTTAAGAAGGAGTTACTATACAGGTTGCAAACCAAACAGACGAAACAAACCCCCAACCACCCACCAAACCAAAACCAAAAACACCAAAAACACCTAAGGAGGGAAGCAACCTGTTGCGCAACTCATGTGGCCATGTAAGCCGCGAGAGAGAAGGTGAGACAGGGGCGTTGAATTCCGCAAAGCTCTCAGTACTTCTTGTCCCTCAACAAACTGCTTGATACTTGATGGGTTCTCGTCAAAGTCAGACAGTTTGGAGATGGCACAGGGAGGCCAATCTAGACCCCCTTGCATGGGTTTGAGGCAGGGGCAAGATATGTATTCGGAGGCAGGGGCAAGATATGTATTCGCAAGGCACTTGAGAGGCATTAGTGTATTGTGTGAGTCAAGGCCGACATTGGGTCTACGAAAGACAAGGTGGATGCAGGCTAAGTTGACTAGCTACGCTCAACGGCCTGAGACCCAAAATTTGGCATGATGAGTTAAATCAATGGAAGACCACTGCGCTTGCAGTCGGGATCTCCAAAATACCGAAAGAAAGGGAGCAGTGTGGTTGCTATCATGCAGTCCCAGGCGGAGTGAGCCGCTGCGACGCAGCGTTTCTCGATCCTCCCCCCAAGGGGGAGGAGGCAGTATCGAGAGTGTCGATCCCGCGCAAACTCCAAAACAGCTTAGCAACGGGAGGAATGCGAGAGACACTCCACAATCTGCAGAGGAGGAGCGTAGCAATTCTCATCAGGAATGCAGCAGTCAAATGCATTGCAACGATTCTCTTCGGTAGCCGGTTGATATCGGCCAGTGCATGCAAGGCCCCATGAACTACGCAAAATTAGGTGAAACAGGGTGAGACGCCGTTTTCCTATATCTGTACACTATACCCATCCAGTGCCGCTACACGGGTAACAGCCTGGGCACTGTCTAGCTACTCAGGTTAGCAGCTTATATGGTCAAGACGTTGTGGCACTCACAGGACCAACACACGGGCGCCAGCCTGCAAGGCTAGCTTTGAGGTGTAAGGCAGTGCGGTAGCTTACAAAACCTCCTACTGCTCTCGTGCTGGAGAGCAGGGTGGGACAGGTTTAAGCCACACGTAGTGGCGGAGTTTCGCGCACTGTCGGTCCTGTAGTTGTTATGGTCCTGGTCATGGGCGCATTTCGGCGGCGTGGCTTTTAAGGACAGCTATCTAGGCAGGGCACTGCTTCTTTGCTCTGGTGGCAATGTGTGCTCATGGGAGCTGGCCTCTAGCTTAGGCAGGGCCAGCACACGGGTGCCAGCCTGAGGGCTCAGTTACCTGCCTCTCTAAACACTTACCTTTGACTTGGTTCTGCATAGGAGTCATCTGTCCATTTGTCCTCATCCTTCCGATTGAGTGGAAGAATACGAACCCACTTTGGCTTGTCGAGGTTGTCACACTTGAGAAACGCGTTGGCTCTGGAATATGTTCCCCTCCAGGTCACGCTTTTTCCCACTCTGTGAAATTGGCAGAGCTGCGCGCAGCCGGCGCAAGCCCGTCTGGCAATATACAGCAACGTCAGCGGGACATAGGCTTCTTTCAGCGAGGTACACATGAGAAAGCGAAGTTTATGCGGAAGACTTAGGCGCTGCAAATGTTTACAGTGTGCAAAGGCAGAACCCATTATCTCAGTGACCTCTGTACGTGAGAGATCCACACGCTGCAGTTGCAGACATCGTTCACAGGCCGCAGGTCCAATCCATGTAAAATCTGGCGACCCGATCCCAGCCTCAAGAAAGCAGCATTCAGGCAGGCAACGTGTCAAGTTTGCAGGGTCATACTCGGTCTGTCCCAGATTGAGGCGCCGTAATGCAGTGCATTTTTCAAAGGCCCTAGGCATCAACTGTGCCTGCGGGGCCAGTTGGTTGGTCGTTTCACGATTGGTTCCGATGCGCAGTAAGGAACAACATTCTTCGAAAACTTTGATTCCAAACTGTTTACAGCCTGGGGCAAGTACCG